TTCTGCCAAGCACTACTGGGGAGATCAAGGAAACCTGGGTGGCATTTGAGCTGGGTCACTTTGAAGAGGGGTAGTATGTCCATAGGAAAGGAAGAATGGGAAGAGTATTTTAGGCTGGGTGATTACATGGGCTGGGGTCACAAGACTGGAAAATACAAGCATCTGGACACTAGCAAAGAGGCTGCACCAGGAGAACTGTAGCATGCATGCATGCCTCTCTGTGGAGAACTCATTAAGGAAGGCTTTGCCTGCTTTGTCAAAATATTTATCCCAATAACAATAGAGAACTATTGAAAGCATGAGTCTTGGGAGGTGTAGAGGTTTTGGTTCATTGATCTTAGTAGTGTGACAGGAGTGAATTGACAATGTCTGGGTCAGATATGACTTTCCATCCCTTTCTCTCCACTTTGGGCCATGGCCAAGGCCTTAGACACTCCATGAAGAGCAGCTCAGGAAGTCCCATGAGTTCTGATTCCTACCTCCATTCCAGGTCTGGCCTCCAGGTGCTTCCTCTTGAACAGTGTGCATTGTACCTGGAAACTGTTTCTCTACCAACTTGATTTGGAGTGCTGCTCCTTTGGTTTTTCTGCTTGGTTTTGAATTTTTGTCTTGTGCCTAGAAAATGCCAGATTGTTTTCTCCCCATTTCGTAGCCCATCCTAAATTTCCTGTAACCTCTCTTCAGAGTGGACTTAAATTATCTCTATCTGAGAGTAGAGTGTGGGTGTTTTTGGTGTCTTGGCCCAAGGTCTTTCACTTATCTGGAATCTGGAGGCAGGAGGACATGTTGGGTGGATATTGCCTGAGATTATGAGGGGTGGGACCAGGCTTGTTACAGGGGTGCAGAGTTAGAGGGAGTACTGCTGGGACAAGACACCATGAATATAGAACTGGCAGGGCTGTTAACTTTCCTGTGACTTTTAATTATCTACCAAGCTTATCTTTCCAAACTCCTGGCCTCCTGACTCACAGTTTGACTTCATGTATTCACAATGGTCTGAGGTCTTAGAAACTTTATGATCTGAGTAATTAGGGGTGATGACTGGTGGGGCTTAGAAGGCTTGTGCCAAGCCATTATTTCAAATAGGAATGCTTCTTTTAGAAGAAAGAGAGAGACTTGCTATTAAAACTCTGCATCAGTTAATTGAAGATTTGGGGAAGGAGAGAGGGCAAGGGAACATTTTGAGACCATCCAAGATAGTTGATTTGCATAGGGTCGGGATGTGATTCTGAAAAGAGAATATCTGGTAGAGCACATGGGCCTCTTAGCTGCCATGGACACACCTCAGAAGTGAGTTCTTTGAGAAGGCCTACCAGACAGAGATGTGGTCCCTAAGCTTTTCTGCATGATGGAGTCATCTGCAGAATTTTACAAAAACACTGAAGCCTGGCTGCTGCTACCCCATCTTCCTGATTGAAGTGGCACATTGAAATTTTAAAAAACCTCCCAGGAGATTAATTAAAAAAATTATTGTGTATTATTACTAAAGTATGACTGACATTCAAAGAAGCTGTACGTATTTAGTATATACATCTTAATGAGTTCAAAGGTAAATATACACTCTTGTACTCATCACTGTAAACAATGCTATAAACTTAATCATCACCTCTGGAAGTTTCCCCCTTCCTCTTTTTTGGTGGTAAGAAAATTTAACATAAGGTCCACCCTCTTACTATTAAGTAGTCAAAATTTCAGTATACAGTAGCACTGGTAACTATAGGTACTATGCTGAAAGTAGATCTCTAGGATTTACTCATCAAATACCAACATCTCCCCATCTCTTTCTCCCAATAGCCTTTGTAAACCACCATTCTACCCTCTGTTTCTTTGAGTTTGACTATTTTTAGATCCTAATATAAATAGGATCGTATAGTATTTGTTTTTCTGTAGCTAGATTATTTCATGTAGCATTCATACAACCCAATTAAAATAATCCATTAAAACATAGGTAAAAGACTTGGTTATTTCTCCACAACAACATAAAAATGGCCAACAGGCATTGAAATGTGGCCAACATCAGCATCAGGGAAATGCAAACTGAAACTATGAAGTAACCACCTCACACTTGTTAGGCTGGTGGTTATCAAGAAGACAAATATTGGCAAAGATGTGAAGAAAAGGGAACACTTGTCCACTATTGGTGGGAATGTAAATTAATAGAATTACTATGGAAGACAGGAGGGATGTCTCACAAAATATTAAAAGTAGAACTACTATATGATTCAGTTATCCCACTTCTGTATAAAATAAATGACGTCAAGATTTTGAAGTAGTATCTGCACTCTGTGTTCATTGCAACTTATTTGCAATAGCAATGGAAAAAAACCTTAAATGTTCATGGACAGATAAGTGGACAGAGTGGCTCACACATGCAATCTGATATCATTTGGCCTTAAAAAGGAAGGAAATCCTTCAATTTTGCTATAACATGGATATTGTGCTAAGGAGATTCTATTTTGTAGCAAAGTTTGAGAACATCTAAAGTAGGGAGTAGAAGGAACAAACACTTGATTTGCAGTGGTTCTCACATTTGAGTACACTGGAACCACCTGGTTAATACACAGATGCTGGGCGTCATCCTCAGAGTATCAGTAGGTTGGCAGTAGAGTCCAAGAACTTGCATTTTCCCACTAGTTCCCGAGTGATGAGGTGGTTGGAGATACACTTTGTGAACTGCTCGCTTGGAAGAATTGGGTCTGGACTTCCCAGTAGACATGTGACCCTGAAGTTGTTGTCTGGTCTTTAAGAAGCCAGTTCTGAATTTATAGTGTAATGACAGCAGTGGGGATTACATCCTGGGTCACTGAGTGGGTGAAATGAGATGACTGTAATATGTTTAGCACAGGGCCTGGGACACTAGAAATGTGCAACCTAGGATGGGATTTATTAGTGTTTGCTTGGCTGGTTCTGGGTAGATCTTTCCCTATGTCCAACTTGCTGGTTGCCCAAGGTATGAAAGTGAATTTCAGCTCCTATAGTCCCACTCTCAGGCTTTCTGCAATGTAAAACTGGGACACTCTCATGAGCTGTAAGTGCTCTGGGCTCCAATAGGAAGAATCTACCCTGGGAGCATTGGCACATGGTAACAGCATCCTCCATCAGACTCCAGTCTAATGTGTCTGGTGTGGCCTGGACCAGGGATGGCTCTTCTGCCTGGATTCCATTACATCCTTTGGCTGCCCTGAACCACATTCCAGACCTATCTAGAGCATCAGGTTGTGGCTGTTCTGAGGTCACCATAGAAAGCAAACTGCTATCTAGGGAGATGGGAACAATACCCTGAATAGCCTTAGAAACCACATGGGTCTCCCAGAGGCAACTGTGGGTTTCCACACTATGTTTTCTCTTTTCCCATTCAATTTGCCCAGTGTTCTTCCTCCATATACAGTTGGGAAGTTAGGTTCAGGGTGTGTTTCCCTGTGTGTTTGAGGTCTTCTCTCCAGGATGGAAGGGATACCATGTCCACCTGAGGCTCTGACGGGCAAACCAACTGATGGTCACACACTGAAGAACACAGTGCCCTTTCCTTCCTGAGCCCTCCCCACACTAGGCTTCATGGTTTTTTGTTCCTTAATGTTTTTATCAGGTCAGGTCCTAGCAGATTTGGGAATTTCAAAAACTTGTTTTTATAGAGAGGTACTAGCCTAGCTAATCTTTACTACTCCCATTGAATTTGAGGATCAATCCATTTTGTGGTTTGGGTGTAAGAAGGTACACTTAGGACTGGCCTGGAAGATGGGAAACAGGGACCAGTTCACTCCACTTTTTGTTCTGCTGGGCCAAGGTTAAATACTGCCCATGCCCAGGGACCCCAGGGATGATCACCTGTATTTTCCTTTGGTCCTTATGAACTGAAGAACTAAATGAGAGTCACAGTTGGGATGATATGGTGGAAAGGTCAGGGAGGCTGGTTTGCCCAAAGTATTTATAGTCAACTTGCCTGAAGTCATAGAGGATGCTGGTAACAGAACAGGGCCTAGGAGACCAAGCCCTACCTTCCTTCTTCACCTGTGCTCCTTCCTCCATACACCTCAGCCTTTACCTTTGTCCTGTCTGCCGAGCACCTGATGCTGTTGCTGATCTTAGTCTGGTGCCCCTTGTGATTGATGCTAATGACTCCCTGCGAAGGGAGGCAGGTTGTGATTCAGATAGACTTCTGGTAGTTAGGCCACACCAATGCTTTTTATGTACCTCTTACAGGACAGTCAGTGCAGGTGTTGTACAAACTGCTTTAAGTAGCGCTGTAGCATTTAAGTCTTATAACTTGCAGGAGCAGTTTTTAGCATCCCCAATGTACAGATCAGAGAAGTAAAGCAACCGGCCTAGGGTCAGGCAAGTACCAGAGTGGAGCTGATTTACTATTCATATTCTTCAACATTATTTTCCATCTTTGTCTGCTGTTGCAGACTAAGGAAGATTCTGACTCAACAGAGGAAGCGGAAAGTCACACAAAGCAAGACTGCTACCTGTTTACCTTAAACCTTTCCAGATATTTAGTTTTCAGGAAAAATACAATTGCTTAGAAGTAGGCCCAGATGCTCTCATGGCTAAGGCCACTGTATAATTAACATTGATGCAAAAAGTGAAAAGGAAAACTCAGCTAATTGTATTATTTGAACTAAAACATAACCGGCTGTTTGAATTTTTCATTGTCAATATGCCTTGTCACTAGGTGGATATTTGGTGTGCTTGTCAATGTTCCTATTTGCACAGCCTCTCCACACCTGCACTTCCTCTTTTGTTGGAGATTGTGACAGAAAGGAGAGATGAAAGTGGTTTTTAATTTGGCCACTGAACGAACATCCAAGTCTTCCCTTCCAGCAGCTAAGCCTATATATTTTCTCAACAGGGTATTAATTACCTGGCTCTGAGACCAGCCAGACGGGCTGTTCTGGAGGCTTTGGCTGCCCACCTGGCTGGGTGCAATTGCTCATGGACCCAGCAGGACTCAGGAACTTCAGCAGGGAGCATCCTCCTTCTCAATAAACTCAGACAGGGGCACTGAGTAACTTGTTAAACACATTTATTGATTTTTTGACAGTAACCAAACACAGTGAGTGACCATTATAAACAAGAAAAGAAAGGCATTCGTTTGTACTTTGTGAGATCTGGCTGCACCTGGAGAGAAAAGACACCCCTTTCCCAGGAATTTACAAGGCAAAGTGCATTCCTTCAGGGAGCATCACAGGGGAGGGATGGCAGTTTTGAAACGCAAGGAATGTCGCCTGGTATGTCAGGCTGAAGCTCACCTCGTATGAATGATGGAACCATGGAGTGGAATTAAAGTTATACTTGCTTAGCAAATGCATTCCTGATTGCCACAAACTCAGTCAAACTGGTTGCAAATGAACAAAACATGGAGATGGAGGAACATAGGAGGTCAAAGAATATAGTTGCATGGGCTTAGCCTGAAGGAAGGAGAACAGACCCAAGCCAGAAAAATGAAATTAACTCGTTAAACACATTTATTGAGCTGTTAACAATAACCAAACACAATGTATGACCTTTGGAAAACAAGAAACAGCAAATGGATCAATTCTGATCTTGGCAAATCCTACTACAGATATGTGACAAAGAGGGAAATAATTCCATTTCTTTATAGTCTGCGGTGATATATATATACAACATGTAGCTCTTTGATGTCTGTCCTTTTTTTTTCTTTTTAAATTGTTGAGTAAACAGAAGAATCATAATCTAGAAATAAGTGTCCTTGGTTAACTTTGTCCTGGTTGGCCTGTCACCAGCATCCTCAAGGATCCTAGGACACTCTCGGAGATGACTTGATGCAAAGTTTGCTTGATGCAAAGTCAGCTTTCAGAGCTGTGTTTTCTCCTCTCTCTCTCTCTTTTGGAAGAATTTGTATGTACAAAGGCTGAAAAGTCATTGTGTAGATTTATTTAGTTCAGGAAAACAGTATCAAAATTGTAATCAGGTTAACTGGTTATTTCCTTCTAAGACCTCTTATGAATAAGCTTTTTGTAACTGAAACTTGACTTTCCATCATGGAGGTTGTATAAGTGTGTATATATGGAGGTGTGTTTGCGTGTGTGTGTGTGTGTGTGTGCGTTTGGTTATCTGTATGTTTGGGAGTGGGTATAAGAGATGCATTCCTCTGCCATGGTTTTGCAGACACTTTTCATGAAGAAGGGGCCAGTCCAGAGAGTGAGTGAGGCTTGGGGAAAGGAAGGAGAGAGAAGAAAGAATTCTAGGTTACATCAATTCACAGTTGTAGCATTTTCACTGAGGTGGAATTCTTCTTGGCTTAGTTCCCTACTTGAGGAGCCATTCATTTACTGTAAAGAGAAAAAACCAAAATCATATGTATGAACAACACAGAACAAGGCATAACTGAATTAATGTGCACACAGTTTTGTTTATGGAGGGGGGGCTTATTCAAAAGGAAAAAGGGACTGTTCTGTAAATGCCTACCTATTTATTTGTATACCAGATACTCCCTTCCCCAGGACCCTGTAGATTTTTGCTTTCCAATATGATAGCTACTAGCCACAAGTGGCTACCACAAATCTGAATGAATTAAAATTAAAATTTTATTTGTGTCATCAAATTAGCCACACTTCAAATGTTCAATAGCCACACGTAGCTACTATATTGGCTAATGGAAAATAGACCATTCCTATCATGTAGAAAGTTCTAGTAAATGGCTCTGGTCCAGACCAGGGTAGGCAAACTTCAGTCTGCAGCTCAAATCCAGCATGTTACCTGTTTTGGAAAGAAGGTTTTATCAAAGCACATCATACCCATTTACTTGCATGTCATTCTTTGGATGTTTCGTATTACATCAATAGAGTGGGTCAGAGACTTTGCCCTGCAAAGCCTAAAATATTTCTTCACTGTCCCTTTAGAGAAAAAGTGTGCAAACTCCTGGTCTAGACTGCAAGCACTGTATGGTTAGGACCATATTGGTCTTCATCACCACTGTATCACCATCACTACCTAAGTGCACAATACATAGTAGGTGACAAATAAATACATGTGGAATAGAGAGAAGAGTCAATAGATGAGTTTTGTATTTATTTATCTACTAGTTCCAGCTGGCAGGGATCAATTAATCTACAGTTTAGGCACTTTGTTAGTGTGTTTAGGAGAGAGAGAGAAAAAAAAAAGAGAAGGAAACAGGGAGGCAGGAGGAGAGATGAAGTGGGGGGTAGGGGGTACCAATAATAGTTGTTTATAAGAGTGGTTTGGTATTAACCAGAGTCCTCATGTTTGGGGAGTACCTCATTGCCACAAAGGGCTCCCCCATCCAGGCTCTTGCTTGCCTCTCAAACAAGCTATGAAGTAGACCTAGATGAGGCCTCTCAGGAAGAGGTGAAATCCACTGTAGTAAATGTCCTGGAGTAATTGCATGACTCCCAATCCAGGACATCTCTGAGACCCTGCCTCCCTTTCCTTTTCCACATTGAGGGCTTGCCACAGCAATCAACAGATATTTTAGTTAGTGTGAAGAAGGGAAGAGAGAAGGGTGATGGGAGACAGAAGTCATCTTAATGTCCTCTTTAGTAGAAATAATAACCACTACTAGGGACATAGCACCAGACAAAGATATATCCACACACTATCTCTTTGGGCCCTGATGACCTGGCAACCAGAGAATTTGCATTCGCCTAGGAGACATATAACCAAAGCTGTGATGATTCTCACTGTTCTGTTCTAACAGATAGCCTTGGGGAAGCAATCTTTCTGGGTTCTGTAAAGTGCCAATAAAAAGGCACCAAAGAGGGTGGAAAGGTTCAATATATGTGACATCAAGCCTTCAATATATATGTAGATATCTATCATATATATCATACTTTTAAACCTCTACCATCTTCCTCTATGTATGATATACAGACTTGGCCAAGAGAAAAGCACCATGCAGATGGGGGTGGTGGTGGTGGTCTTGTTGTCATGAGTTCTGCAATGGTGGTCTATGCCTGGCTTTTAAGAACAGGTCTAAATAGATAGCCAGAGCTTGAGCCTGGGCCCTCTGCTCCCTGAGCCCCTGCACTCACCTCTATACTGCAGCTTCTGGGCTCGGTTGTTTGGACAGTCCTTTCCCTGTAAACTGAAGTTGATGTTGGTGCGGATGCAGCGGTTGTTGAGTGGTTGGACTGGCCTGAAGTTGTCACTCATGCTCAGAAAGATCTGCGATGGCTGATTCTGGCTGAGTAGGCGTAAGGAATGCATCTGAGGAGAGAGAATGAGCTATGAGATCCAACTGTCTTGCAAATGCTCTAGGGAAGAAGTAAGGCCAAGTAGACTGTGGCTAGGCCATGAACCCCTCAGAGCCCCTTTGCCCTGGGTTCAGTTGAGCTGAACGGCCATGAATGTCTCCAGGTATAGAGGAGGGAGCTTGATTCTAGCTCACTAGCTCATGGACATCTCTGAATATGTTCCCCCTCAAATGTACCATCTGTCCAAGGAGGAGATTCAGCTGAGTGCTTTCCATGATGTCCTGTGCGTCAATAATTCACTGATTCTACATAGGTATTATTCAGACCACAGTGATTGGTCCAGGGGTCAGAGCTAAACTAAGCTGGACCAATGCAGCTCATTTTCTGTGACTATCAGAGCCATGGTCCATCGTAGACTGCGAAGTCAAAGAAGACAGTCACTAGCAGGAGAACAGAATGAGGCAAACATGCCATGAGGAGAGAGGAAGGGCCTGTGGCATTCTGATTCCAGTGAGCTCCCCTTACCGAGTTTTGATCTTAAATTTCATAAGATATCCCAGTATCTCTAAATAAATTTTTTTCCTGAGCTTAAGCTCTCTGTAGGGTTACTGTTGCTTGTCATCCAACAAGTCGAAACCAAAACTCATAGGATCACAGGCTTCAAACTGTTCAGATTGATGTAAGCTTGTGAACACATATATACCCCAAGGAGACTGAGCTCCACTTCATTTAAGGGCTTTTGTTTTGTTTTTTTTTTTTTTGGTCAGTACTGGGGATTGAACTCAGGGCCGCATACTTGCTAGGCAAAAGCTCTACCATATGAGCCACACCCTCAACCCTTTTGCTTTTAGTTTGTTTTCTAGACAGGGTCTTGCACTTTTGTCTGGGCTGGCCTTGGACTGCAATCCTCTTGCCTCTGTCTCTGGAATAGCTGGAACTACAGGCAAGGCGTGTGCCACCCCGCCCAGTCCCTCCTCCTGATCATAGAACATCAAAGTGGAAATAGAAGCATGTGATTTAGAGGAGGAGTATGCATTTCACAGAAGTAGGGTGAACAGGCCTAAAGTGCACAATGAGCAACTTAACAAAGCTGGCACAGGAGGGCAGGCCTGGGTCCTGTCCAGCTCTGAGGAATTGATCCTCTGTGAGATGATCTAAGAATGCTACATTCAAATATATTTGTGATTGTAGAAAAAAATCAAATATATTTGTGAAATGCAACATATGTTGTCTCTTCTTGGAGACTGACAACATGTATTATTATAAAAAGGCCTGTGAAGTCCTTCCATAAGAAATCTATATAGATCATTTATCTATTTTTTATTTTTGTTTAGTTTATGGAAGTATCAGGGTTTGAACTCAGGGCCTTGCACTTGATAGGCAGGTCCTCTACCACTGGAGCCACAACCTAAATCCCTTTTAACTTTAGTTATTTTTCAGATAGGGTCTTGTGATTTTTTGCCCAGGGCAAAAATCCCCTTACTTTTGCTCTCATGTAGCTGTGATTATAGATGTATGCCACCATGTCTAGCTTGCTGGTTGACACGGGGTCTCACTAACTTTTTGTCCAGGCTGGCCTCAAAGTGTTGTTCTCCAATCTCCACCTCCTGAGTAACTGGGATTACAGCCATGAGCTACTGTATTCAGCTCACACATAGCTTATAGAGCCCAGTTTTTTTCAGGTACAATTTACTACATCATTCATTTTGCTTGCTTGCTTTTTTAACATGATAGCAGTACAGCATCATTCAGGAACTAACTCTGATGTCTTTTCTTCCTCAGACATGGGTTGCTTCTACAATCTGTTCTTAGATTGTTTTAGATGCTGGTTCTTTAAGCATAGGTGAATTGTGTTGCCCTTAGCTCATAGATTGAGGTACTTGTAGTCCGCAGTCCCTCAGAATGTGACCTTACTTGGAAACAGGGTCATTGAAGATGTAATCAGCAAAGTAAAGATGAGGCAATTGGAGTGGACTCTTCTAATTTGAAACAACTAGTGTCTCTATAAAAAGGGGGGATTTGGACACAAAGACTCAGGCACAGGAAGAACACTACATAAAGATGAAGACCAGGATTGGGGGTGGGGCTCCTCAGGCCAAGCAGATACCGAAAGTTTCCAGCGAACCACCAGAGCCAGGGGAGAGGAGGGGGCAGTTTCTTTCTCATATCCCTTAGAGGGAATCAACCCTTTGACATCTTGAACTTGAACTTTCAGCCTCTAGAACTGAGAGCCAATGAGTTTCTGTGGCTCGCACCACCCGTTTGTGGTATGTGGTTACAGCAATCCTAGCAGATGAACTCAGTAGGCATAAGCCAGTCTTCACACCATCTTCCCTGTTAGCTAAGGGACCAGCAAGCTCACCTGCATCCTGGTTATATAGACAGGTTTGTTCATTATTATCCAACTCGCTGTCTCATAGCAGGGTGGAATAGTCATCGACCCATCATAAGTGATGAAGCTAGAGGTCTCTGGGTACAGTTCCTCTATGTTAAGTCCCTGTAGTAAATATGCATCATCTGGAAAAGAAGGTTAGAAAGACAAAATTAGATTTCTTGAGAAAGTGCTGGAATTGTACTCATTATATGTCATGTTAATTACACATAATATTTTGGATTCTAAAAGATTGTGTCTGTCAGGATAGGCTGCAGTAACAAACAGTCCCATTACCACCCCTTTCATCTCAATCACTTTAAATAATGAAGTTCTATTTACTGCTCACAAACTTGTCTATTCCATGTTGGCTGAGGGCTTCCTTCTGTGTCATTCTTGTCCATACTTTGCAACCCTGAGTCTTAGAGCACCTTCTGTCTGGCTGAATCGTAGTTTGTGAATCGGAATAACAGAAGGAAATGGAGGTTGAAACATGGTGGCTCTTAACTTTTCCATCCCAGAAGTGCCACATGAGTTATTTCTGTTCATGCTTTAGTAGCCAGGGGAGTCATGTGGCCAAGGCTGATGTCAGGGATGGGACATCAAATATTGGGAGGTGTAAGTAACGCGGTCTATCGCCAGGGCCATATGAAGAGCCGAGTCTTTCATTGTGATCATGAAGACCTGGTCCCTTAGGCATCACAGTCACAATGAAATGAACAAATAAAGGCTTCAGGACCTGCTGAAAAGATGCCTAGTCACCTTTCTTATTTATTAACATTGCTTAGTTAAAAGAACGTTAAGAAAGTACTTTTAGAAAGAAAAGTAATCAGGCCAAATTCTACTATGAAATTAAAAGCTTCTGACAGGAATGTAAAACAGGTACTTTTGGGGATGGGTACAAGTAGGAGTGGAGGAAGAGGGTATGAGAGGGTGAATGTGGCCAAAGTATTCTGCACACATGTATGAAAATAGAACAAAAAAGCCTGTTGAACTTGTTCCAAGAAGGTGGATGGAGTAATAGAGGGGATGAGTTTAATTAGGGTACATTATATTTATATATGGAAACATCACAATGAAACGCCTTTGTACAACCAATATATGCTAATAAAATGGGTAAAAATTCAATGCCTAAATTAGACAATTAATTTCATTTTTTGTGAATGTCCTTTAAGGCCTATACAGACTATCTCTTCTCTTGCACCTATTTGAGGTATCCAACCTCATATACCTTTTATAATTACAGTTTTTAATTATAAAAATGACTTAAGTCCTTATCAGACTATATGGAAATAAGAAAAAGATAAAATTCTAGTATGCAAATATTACTGTTGGAATTTTGGTATATTTCCTTCTAATTTTTTTATTCAATGCATTAATTGAGTTTTTAGAAAACTGTAATGTATTGGAGTTTAAAAATCTCTGTAAATTGCAATTACTCTCTTACTTTTCCCTCCCCCTATGGTCCCTCCTCCCTTCTTCTTTGCATACTTTCTTCTGACTTCCAAAACATGGGAGCTGGTATTCTTACTACTTATTTATTTATTTTTGCTGTTCTTTTGCAAGTTCTGTTGTTATTTTCTACATGCTTCTCTCAAAGTATGTTCCCTGGGGATCCATCCAAACCTCTCTTCTTTCTTAGTTTCTGTTTTCATCCTAGAGGAGCCAGCTGTATCCATGGTTTCAACTGTCCTCTTCACCCCAATGATGAAAGATTTTCACCATGGGTCCAGAGGTCCCATATCTCCCAGAACGCCCACAACTAGGGCCAATCTAGGAGTCTGGAGAATCCATGGCAGGGACCCAAAGCCTGGCTGGCAGAGGAATGAGACTGACTCCCACAGAAACTCTGGATTCCCATGTAGTCTCTCATTATGTGTGCACCTCCTAATGGGGAAGGACTGTCCAGCAGTCAAAATAACTTTTGGTTGTTACCTAACCATTACTATACAATGCCATTACTATTGTGCCCAGGTAATGGTAAAGGAGGACTTTCATACATAGCTGGAATTTTATACTGACCCAGTGATATGGATCAAACAGTAAAACAGCCTCATTATTAAGAAAATAAAGATCGGGAAAGCAAATTAACCAGCCCAAGCCAACAGAGTAAGCTGATGAGTGTAGAGTGGGAATTGAAACCTAGCTCTCCTGACCTCCAAACCAAGGTCATTCGTTTATCCATCAAGTATTCACTAAGTACTTCTTTGTGATGGGCCCCGGGGAGAGAGCAGTGAACAGGACAGATGCAATGCCTGCCTTATTGTAATTAAAGATCTAGATGATAAGTGGCAAAATAAATATTATGTTAGGTTGGTAAGTATACTTGCCTATTGATGGCCATTAATGTTGCTAATCTATTTTCCTGGGTTAAAGACCCCTTGTCTCCATTTCTTCCAGAAACTGCTCATTTAAACTTTCTCTGACAAGAAAGAGCTATCTTTGACAAGGGAACTTATTTAATTTCATTTAATTAATCAATTAATTAGCAGTGCTGGGGATCAAACCCAGGGCCTCATTCATGCTAGGCAAACGCTCTACCACTGAGCTATATTTCTAGCCTAGTAACCGGGATTTTAGTGCTCCTTTGCTTGTCAATTAATTATAAACAGATCAATTAAGCCACAAGTTTGAAATGATGTAAAGAAAACCATCATTTGTCTGCTCCATGCCCAACTTCCCTATGGGGCTTCCCACTTCCCCAATGGGGTAATAGAATACCCAAAGAGGAAAGACATTCACTTTCTATTAAGTAGCAGTAAACACTTTCCATCAAAACACTAAGGATCCAGAACAAATCCAGGAGGAAAATAGTGATTGGACTATGACCCGGCTGAGTCTGCTCTGTGTCTGGTGTGGCTAGGCACTTCTACCATGAAGCCATGGTGTCTGGAGCACACACTGATATGATGACCGTCAAGAGTTGGATCTGTTACCAGCACAATCAGCCTCTGTTGGGTATTGGTCATTTGTCTGTAGCTTTTTCTTGGCTCCTAATATGTGTTAGGCACTAAGCTCAGTGTAGGTGAGCAGGATACAATTAAGTGAATGCACTTAGGAGTCATGGAGATGGTAAAAAATGTCTCTGCATGGCCAAGAAATAGCCTGTCAGTTCTGCCCAGAGTAGAGGGATTCAGGAAAGGATGAATGAAAGAGCTGACCTGAACTGCATCTTGAATGACAGGAAGTAACCAACCAGTGTGTGGCTAGCAGGGGGTGGGTGTCAAGGACCTTGATGACAGAGTCCTGCTAGAGAAAGAGCAAAGGAAGTTTAGAATGCTATGCATTTGGGGACAGTGACAGGGTGAGTGAAACGCCCCTGCTGGGACATTGTGGGAAATGAGGCTGGTGGGGTCAGCACAGGCCATCCCTGGAAGGCCTTGTCTAAATTGTTGAGCATTTGGGCTTCATCCTGGAGACAGTTTGGAGCCACTGAAGGGTTTGATGCCCAGATAGCATGATCAGATTTGCACTTAATGAGGCTTGCTTTGATGGTGGTTTGGCCCGAAGACTAACATGCTGAATGAGAGAAGGCAATGGTCGCACATTTTTATGAAAGGTCAGTGTGATTTGTTTAACCAAGCTTGCACAAGGAGCATACTGGGTACTGTAGCATTCTGCTATTATTGTATTTTATTTTATTTAGGGCGATGGGGAGGAGGGAAGGAAGGAAGCAGTTGAAATGAGGGGCATTCCAGGTACAACTGGAGTGAAGAAAAAGAAGGGTTATGTTTCTCTGAAACTAGAACCAGCCCTCGTGTGGCAAACACATTAGAGGAAAGGGCGGGGTGTGGACGTATAGGTCAGGAGCAGAAGGCAAAAGGTGATGTTTATCGATTTATCCCAGGCATTAGGGCCACACCACAGTGCTGATACAACAGGCTCCAGAGATTCCTCTTCCACTTCCTCTGCCCTCTGATGCCTCTCAGATCCTCATTCACCTCTCTGTCCTTTCCACTTGGCTTGTTAATACCCACGCTTAGCCTTTTGCCCTTTTAATTTCCTACTCTGCAGAATATAGAAAGATGGAGTATGAAGACTTTGAGCTTTGGACGCAGGCCTGAGTGTGAATGCTGACTTTGCTACTCATTGTCTGCATGACTTTGGACTTCAGGTAACCACCTGAGTCCAGTTTCCACATCTGTAATATCAGAGTACTAGGCTCACAGGGTCATTTCAGGAACAAATGGGATCATGCTTTACAAGTACTACCAAGCATGAGGCTCAGCCCAGGTAAGTACCCAGCAATGCTGGAGAGTATTGGTATCACCTCCTCCTTCTCTGCAGTCAGTGTGTTTGCCCAGCTTCCCTGGAATGAGCGTGGTTGTTCTCCCAGCTGGGTTGGTGCCCTCCTCTTCCACATATTTACTGAATTAGTTTGTCAGCCATTTACCTATTTGTCCCCACTAACCTGGGAGCTTTGGAGAAGGGTTGGCATCTTTTATCTCTGAATCCCCAGTCTTCAACCTGAGTTTCACCATGTAGTGAGTGCTCAATAAATGTGGACCAACGAATGAATTAATGAAATGGTTTCTGCACAGGAGCACTACATGCTGGTGGTGCTTGGCAGAAACCAAGAGCGTTTGTTGGATAATGTGGAAAAATCTCTGAGGCTCCAGCTTGAACCATTAGCATAAATGCACACTGCCTACCACCATCTTATATATCACATCTCAAGACATCAGGGTGGGATCGCGTTTCCATCTTCACATGGCATTATCATGTTTCTGTACCAAACATGTTCGCACCCTCCTATTATTTATATTGGTGTGTATTTAACATGCAACCTTGCTCTAATTACTCACCACTCTGCCTCAAAGTCTGCCGTTAACTCAGTGTTCTCTCTGTAGGCATTGGAATTTGAGAACTTAGGCTACCTTTTTGCATTCCCCTTTCCCCACTGGAGACTTGCTTGATGCATTTGGTAGGCTTGAGGCAATGTGAGCCAAGAAAAGAATACGGTTAAAGCTAGAAATTTTCAGCCCTGGCATTCAGGCACACTGGGGTGTTTCTCATGACCAGGAACTAATTATAACCCACAAACTATCTTGTTCATGCAGCATCTAGCAGAAAACCAGCCTTTTCTATATGTCAGTGTTACTATATTGGCAGTGTAGAGAAAAGAATCTGAGAATTAATACATTGG